TTTCAGATTTTATCCAAACGATTCTCCTAAATCTTACTTACTTACTTACTTACTTACTTACTTACTTACTAATTAATTAATTAATTAATTAATTAATTAATTAATGGATTAAGAAGGTCCGAAACAAACTAAAAAGTTTTGAACACAAACTGTACGTTTGATCCACATTAAAATCAGGGTTGGATTATGTAATCTAATCAAATTTCAGAATCCCTTTTTGGTTTTGAACAACTCATTTTTCAGATTTTATCCAAACGATTCTCCTAAATCTGCTGGGATTATCTGTAATCTGTCAGCTTTGACAGAGTCAGACTTTTATTTTATGTTCTGTGGTAAAATTAAGACACTATAATCTTTGTGTAAATCCATGGGAACAGATTATTTTTATTATTTCATTGATGTCAGTTGATGATCTGCTACAACAACCAGCAGCACTCAGTGTTTGAAACATTTTGATGTTTTTAGGAAAGTTTAAAAAACTCATAAGAAGCTGATAACAACAGTTACTCAAAAAAACAAATTTAAATTTAGTTTTGTTCATTAAAAAAATCAAACCTTTTATTTTATGAAGTCATTGTTTAAACTCAAATGAAACAAAGATCAGCAGGTTGAGTTCATTTTGAGCTGTTTTTTATTTTTCAGACTTCCTGTTGAGTTTCCTGCTGACGGTTTCCTCTGTTTCAGTGCGGAGGACTCGGGCGAGCGGGATCAATCTGGAGGTGGTCCAGGCTCTGGAACTCAACAGAACCAAGACCAAGTCTGAGGCGAGACTGGAGCCCGTGAACCGATCCATGAACTACTGAGTCCAGACCACACCAGACCAGAGGTTCCAGCAGACTTTACTGGGTCTGTTTGTCCTGAACTGAAAGCTTGGATTTATTAAACTGGGTTTAGGATCCAGCGGATGTTTCCTGGTCCGTTCAGGGAAGGTTTCCTGGTACCAAAGGTCAAAACAAACAAGTTTTTAACTTTGAGTTTTTCAAAATGCTGCAGAAGGTGAAATAAAGTTCAGAAACTCAAGCTAAAAATGAGAGAAATATTTGCAAAAAACAATGATTTTTTAAATAAATTCATTAACGTCAGAAGAAATGAAACAATTCAGTAAAACTTAATGAAATATTTAGGTTATTTAAAATGTTTTTTTAAAGATCACATTTAAATATTCAGCTGTGAACCGAGATTTTTCAGGATCTGTTCAAGTTTTTCACTCTTCCAGGTTTCAGTAAAAGAAAAAGAAACTGAACATTTTTCTGATCAGAAGTCAGTAAAAAAACACAACAGTTAGGTCACAGAAGCCCCGCCCCTTCGTCACTGATGAAGACTCTACTTGAACACATGGATGAACATTTTTATGGACGTTTGAATGTGTTGCTGATGTTATTAATAAAGATTTTCAACAAATGAGCCCTTCCAGCTCCAACAATCTGCATCTTTCCTCTACAACCATGAAAAATAAGAATTCTGATGGAGGAGGACTTTTATTTTGAAAAGTCATTCCAGGTTCAAACCTTTTTCCTGTTTGCTTTTTCTGTCGTTGTGACTTTAAATCCTCCTGAACATCTGAGCCACTTGAAGCAGCACGTTAGGTAGAAAGGCAGAGTAAAAAGCAAGCCTCAGACCAGCAGTCGTTGGGTCAAAACCATAAATCGGATCAGAACTTCCTGTTCTGTGAGCAGCAGGTTTTTATGTTTCTTCTGTGTTTTCTGGAGGAGGTACCATGAGACTAAAAAGATTCCTGATGAGGAGAGTGTTCTGGTGCTGGACCTGTGTTCTGAGCTGCAGAGGTTTAAAGATCAGCCATGAAGTGAGCTTCAGCTCCTTGAACAACAGTTTGGTTTCACTCCGAGGATGCAAATTTGGTGCAAAACCTCAGGTTTTCTGTCAGAGCCAAGTGTAAAATCAAACGTTAGAAAATCTCACCAACATATTTTTTCATTTAGCTCACTGTTCTTACATTTAGTTTTTACTAAATGTTAAATTTAAATGTTAAACATATTTAAATTTTAAATTCCTAAATCTAAATGTTTCAGTCTAAATGTAAAAGTTAAACCTTAAATGTTGAAATTCACGTTCAAGCATTTTGGAATGGAACGCAGCCTTTGCTGTTGGTGCTCGGCTCAAGTTGTGATGTCATCATCCCGAGACAATAGCAACCGCTAGCTCCGATGCAGCTAAAGCTTCCTTGCAAGACATCAAACCTGCAGTTCTGGCTGCTGGACCTCAGGGACCCGTATTCTTATGAACACATTTTGAATTTGGATTTTAAACATTGTTAGCAGCGGCCATTGTTTGTCGCAGGATGATGACATCATCCTGATTATCTGACGATAAATTTAATGCTTCTGTAGAAATCCAGCAGTGTTTGTCAGATGTTTCAGATGGTCTCTGAAGCCAGGCTGGAGTCCTGCAGAAGATTTTTCTGCTGATATCTACAAGAAAGTCCTCTTGTCCTTTAAAGGTTTCCCTCTGACTGCAGACTGACCCTTTTTGTTTAAAGAAAGAACAAAAACGTCAGTTTTTAGATGTGCACTGAGTTATTTTAACTGCAGAGTACTGATGCTGTTGTTGAGTTTTTTATTGTTTTGAGTGTGTAGATGTGCAAAGAGAGACCAACCCTAAAGACGTACAGTGACATGGTTCTGACTCGGCACCACTCACTTCTCACGTTTTAATTGTAAAGAAAAAACAGTTAAATCAAAAACCCTGAATCGTTTTCTTCCTCAGCTGAGTGTCACGTTACGTTAAACTTTAAAGTTTGTGCTTGTAACGTGGCGAAATCTGGAAAAGGTTTTTTAGGTGCTCCAGGTTTTTATTTTTATAAAACATTTGATTTAAAAAAAAAGAGTCCATAAGACAAAAGCTCAGCTGAAACAAAGATCTGAAAACAGCTTCGATGGTTCAGTTTGAGCTCAGTGAAAATGAAACTGGGAGCGTCTCTCAAACCTGGAGTTTGTTCTGTTTCTCATGGGTCTGATTTCTAAAATTAGAACCTTTTTTTTAATCTTGTTTCCTAATCTGCTGGTTTTGACCCGTGGATTATCCTGAGAACGATTCAAGGACCAGAAACACAAAGTGAACTCAGGCCTGCAGCAGAACTTTGTTCTTATCATAAACTAATCTGTGACCTCCAGTTTTATCTGAGTCCAGCTCCACGTGCTGCTCACACAGAAGATATGGAGACACGTTTACACTGAAATTATTAAATCATTTGCTACTTAAATATTTAGCTAGCTAGTTAGCTTGTTAACTAAATATTTAATTTGTAAGTTAAATATTTAGTTTATAAACTATGACATTTATAAATGTATGAATCATATAG